CATCCTTCATGTGGGGTGAGTACACCCTCCTCTTGTGGTTGAGCCTTGGTTGCTGTTGGCAAGTCAATGCAAGGGATTTTACCCAGGCCATTCAGCTGCAAAGATTGGCTATGACAACTAACCACCAACCTTTGTCTTCAGTGAAGGATGAGCTGTACAGGGGCAGGGTAGTGGTGCTCTGATGTGGTCTATAGCTGTTCACTGGGTGCACAGGCCCTGGTATTTCCTGGGTGGTGCAGACCAAGGTTGGTCCCCACCTGTGTTTTTCCTGGGGCCATCCTGCATGAGCTAAAAAGCATTGTAGATGGCTAGTAGTTATCGGGGCTTGGGGATTCCTAGGTCAATAAAAGCTGTGAATCTGGTCTGGCTGCTGCTAGCAATGTGCCTGGGGTCACTTAGCAAGAGGTATGGGGGCTGGGTGATCACTGAAGCTGGCTGTTGCTTCTTTGAAAGGATTTAGGAAGTCATGAAGCAGGAGCCATGGCCAGGCATTCATGTGGAAAAGCTACTGTTAATGGCTGTAAATCGAGTGGGTCAGACTCTCAGGGGATCTTCATGATGGGACAAACAGTGTTAACCAGGTTGATCCAGTTTCAAATATGGCATGGGACTGCTGGCTCTCTGGCTCTGTGTGGGGAGGGTTCAGAAAAGGGACAATGGCCTCTGCCTACCTTTCTGTTTGCGAGAAAGCTGTCCCTCAGCTTTTGCCTTGATGCCAAACACTTCAGTTCCTTTCTGTATGTGACTGGTACCTTTCAATCTGCTACCCAGATGCTGGAGCTCTGGGAAGAGGAACTGAGTCTAAGTAAGTCTGTGTGTGGGTTCTTTAAGAGGAACTGCTTAGGACTCCAGTTTCTTCCACTCACTCAATTACTGCTGGTTTTTGAAGTCACAAGTTATGGGTACTTAACTTCCTGGCACTGGAACCCTGGGCTGGGGAGCCTGGTATGGGTCTGGGACTTCTAGCTCCTGAGATATTCCTCCTGAATTTTTGTCAACAGGTGGATGTGGGACTCGCCTGTTTCGAGTCTTCACCTGTCCTACTAGTATGGATAGATGTGATTTTTAAAATTCTGTAGTTGTCAGACTTCCATTCAACTTGATTTCTGATGGTTCTGAGTGATGGTTGTTCTATAATTTAGCTGTTATTTGATGTGGTTGTGTGAGGAGGTGACCCTATATGTTTACCTATACGGCCATCTTGACAGAAAGTCTTCTGTTACTTTTCAATTGTATTTTTTCCATTAACATTTAGCCCCTCAAACCTTCTTCCATTTTCATCCACCCACCCCCATAATTTAAAAAAACCAACAAATCAAATGCTGCAATATGTAAAAGAATAAGAGAACATGATAGATCTATACGTACTGCAAGAATGGAGGTTGGTTTTACTTTAGAAAACCACTGTAACTCATCACATTAATAAAAAAGAAAGAAAAATAATAAATTACTCAAATATATAAAAACTATACGTTTGATGAAATCAAGCATACACTCATAAGGGAATAAAACCTCTTAGGAATAGAAAGAAAATTGTGAATATCATAATAATAAAATACTAAAAGTTTTCCTTCTAAGATGGGTAAAAAAGGCAAGAGTCCCACTACTAACTCTACTAATCCACCTTTTACTGAAAATCTTAGGTCAGTGAGGCACATTGAATACAAAAATTATTCCAATTCCCTATCTCCCCCCAGTATCCATTCCCTTTGCAATATAATTGTCCTTGCAGTGTCTCCCATCAAGAGATGAATCCATTTACCTCCCTCTTGAATCTGGACTGGCCTTATATTTTGCTTTGGTTGAAAGAATGTGGTAGAACTGACAATATGCCAGTGCTGAGCCTCAAGAAATCCCTCCAATCTCAACTTTTTGGAAACCCTGTCATTGTCATTTGTGGATAATAGCAAATTGGAGGATAAGACCCATGTCAAAAAGAACTAAGTTAGTCCAGCTGTCTGTCCCTGCTGTGACCCTAGGTATGTGAGAAACCTCGCCAACATCAGCAAAGCTGCTTAGCTGACCTGCAGCCAATTGCAGATGCATAAATGAGCCCTGGCAAAACTAGCTTAAATCAGCAGAAATACTTAGCCAACCATCAGACTTGTGAGAAATACGTGGTTGATTTGGTGTGCAATAACTAATGGATACTGGCACTACATCAAGAAAAAGCAAAGTAGAAATGTTAAAAAGGAAGAAAAAGTCTATAGTTATTTGCAGAGGGTATAATTGTGTATGTAGAAAATCCAAAAATATTTAGAGATACATTATCGGAATTAATAAGTAAATTTAGCATAGTTGATGGATCTCAAATGCAAAGCATCAATTACATTTCCACATAATGACTATGTCTTAGTCTGTTCAAGCTGCTATAACAGGATATCATAGACTGGGTGATTTAAACAGAACTTCAAGAATAAGTGCTGGTAGATTCCATGTCTGGTGAGAGTGTGCTTCCTGGTTCAGAGAGCCATCTTTTTACCATGTCCTCTTATGGTAGAAGAGGCAAGTAAGCTCTTTGGAGTTGCTTTCATAAAGGGGCACTAATTGCACTCATGAGGGCCCCACCCACATGACCTAATCACCTCATAAGGTCATATTAATTTGGGGGGGACACAAACATTTAGATTATAGCAGGTAATAAACAGACAACAAAAAAATTTAAAAATTTTTAAATAACATCGAATTATATGTGGTTCGTAGGAATAAAACCAACAAAATATGTATAAGATTTCTCACATAACATTATAAATCACTCTTAAAAGAAGTGAAGGGCCCTGGGTGTAATGCTTAGTGGGTTGGGCATCGTCTCACAGACTGAAAGGTCCCCAGTTTGATTCCTGGTCAGGACACGCACCTGGGTTGTGAGCCAGGGTCCCGGGTTGGGGGTGTGAGAAACAGCTGATCAGTGTTTCCTCACATTTGATGTTTCTCTTCCTCTCTTCCTCCCTCCCTTCTTCTCACTCTAAAAATAAATAAAATATTTTTTAAAAAGAAAAAAGAAGAAGAAGGAAGAGGAGGAGGAGGAGGTGGGGGAGAAGAAAAAGAATAAGAAAGAAGAAAGAAGGAGAAAAGGAATAGGCCTGGTCAGGTGGCTCAGTTGGTTGGAGCATCATCCCATGGACTGAAGAAAGTTCTCAGGTTTGATTCCCAGTCAGGGCACATTCCTGGGCTGCGGGTTTGGTCTCTGGTCAGGGCCCATATCAATGTTTCTCTCTCACATTGATGTTTCTCTCTCACATTGATGTTTCTCTCTCTCTCTCTCCCTCCCTTCCCCTCTCTCTCTCAAAAAAAAAAAATCAATAAGCATGTCCTTGAATGAAGATTTTAAAAAAGAATAACTAAATAAATAGAAGGATATACCATATTTATGAACTTCAGTATCATAACTATGATAATAGTTATATGATAAAACTTCAGTATCATAACTATGATAATTCCTTCCAAATTGAGTTATAGTCTCAAGATAATTCCAAAGAAACCCCAACAGTTTTTTCCTCCAAAGGTTGACTATTTGCTTCTATGATATGAAAACTGTCCAGTCTAATTAAGGATCTCTTGGAGAAGAAAAATAGCATTGAAAGACTTGCTCTGCCATATATCCAGGCCTATGATAAAGGTATGGTATTTAAGACAAGGGATAACAAACAGATAAATGGGAGAAAATAAAGAATCTAGAAACAGATTCGTGAATGCTTGATTTATGTAAATGGTAGTATTTTAGAGTAGTAGGAAAGGATAATCTTTTCATTAAATGGGGCTGAGACAGCTGAATATCCATTGTAGGAAATACAAAAATTGACCATTGCTGTACACCATTTGCTAAATCAGTTCTGTGTGGTTTAAAGATCTAAATGTGAAAGGCAAAGCAATGATGCTTCCAAAAGATACTAAAGGCAAGTATCTTTATGACCTTGCAGTCCAAAACTTCTTAACAAGCCATAAAAAAGCACAAATCAAAGAGGCAAAATGGGTAAATTATACTATTTTAAAATTACAATTTTTTTTCATCAAAAGCTACTTTAAGAGAATGAAAACAAGCCATCTAGTGGAGAAAATATTTGCAACACATACAACTAAGATTTCTTCAAATTAAAAAACAAAGTTAATTGAGCCCTGGCTGGTGTAGCTCAGTGGATTGAGCATGAACCTGCAAACCAAAGGTCGCAGGTTTGATTCCCAGTCAGGGCATGTGCCTGGGTTACAGGCCAGCTCCCCAGTAGGGGGCGTGTGAGAGGCAACCACACACTGATGCTTTTCTCCCTCTCTTTCTCTCTCCTTTGCCCTCTCTCTAAAAATAAATAAATAAAATCTTTTTAAAAAGTTAATTAGGAATGGGCATGTAACAAAAAAGACATCTAAAATGGCCACTAAAACACATAAAAGTGTTGCAATATCATTATTAATTGGTGATATGTGAGCTATAATCACAGCGAGATTATGCTATATATCCATCAGATTGTCAAAATGAAGACATAATAGCAAGAGTTGGTATAAATGTAGAACAATGAGAGCTTTCTTATACCACTGGCATGACTATAAACTGGTACAACCACTCAGGAAAACAGTGTGGTATTACCTACTAAAGTGAAGATGCGTGTACCTTAGGGCCCTGCAATTCTAATCTTAGGTAGATAGCCAACAGAAATGCAAGAAAATATCTACTAAGAGACATATATGATCATGTTGGTAGTAGCAACTTTCAAAATAGTCCCTAATTGCAAAAAATTCATATTTATATATCACAAGTAGCATGGGTTAATCAATTACAGCACATTCATATACTGAAGTCATCAAAATAAATAAACTATATTTGCATTCTACAACATAGATGAACTCCCAAACACTGAGTACAAAAAGAGAAGATCCAAAAAATTACATACTACATGATTCTATTTATAGAAAGTTCCCAAAAGGTACCTACAAAAGGCAAATTTAACCATAGCATTTAGGGATGCATGCAAGTGGTAAAACTATAAAGAAGATCATGACCATGTTTGCCACGGAGGTCATGAGGTTGCTTATCTTTGGGGAGGTGGGTGGGACAGCCGTGATTGGGAAGGAACTGCTTCCCAGTCACCGCTCCCCTTCGGGGAGGCTTCCTGGGTGCCGACCACGTTCTGTTCTTGACTGTAGGGAGTGGTCACACAGATATTCTCTTTGATAACTTATTGAGCTGAGTCTTCTAATTGGTGTTCTTTTTATATAAGTATTATATTTAAAGTTTAAAAAGTAGATGGAGGTGTATGTGCACATGAATACAAACAGAAGAAGAAACCACAGCTCAGAACACAAACACCAAGGGTTTGCAGTGAGTTTTAAAAAACGGTTCTATCCTCAGCATGATTGCTGTTCTGTCCAGGGCCCCTTATTTTATCTGTCCTGACATTATCTTTCAGCCGATTGTTTTTTTCATGTCAGGCAGCCTCATAGAGATACTATCTAAAGTCGAGGGTGCAAAAATAGGGGTTTAATTATATAAAGTTGAAAAAGTAATCAACAAAAATTTAAACATAAAATTGTAAGCAGTGGAAGAAGTAAAGAGAAGAGGGAAGAATTAAGATAAATGAGCATCTTTCATAGAGAGGGAGAGTGGATATTGTCTAAAATGATAAATCAAGAACATAGAAGCAAATATTCAGAGACACGATGGAGGACAGAAAATAATTAGAATTAGAAAAAATTTTTCAAAACCTTGCTTCTGGGGGTAGGGACTAAGGTAGGGGCTTAGAAGGAGGTGGCTTTCCACTGTAAACTCTCTGCACTGTTTGATTTTGGTTTTGTTTCTCCCATGCGCCTATTATTTTGATAAGTCTAAGAAGGCATTTATGAGATTCCAGGTTACATCATTCTCATCAGCTTGTTTATGAACTGCTCTTTGAGTTATGGCACTATAACTATCTCAAGAATAATATCTACAGTGTGTCTTATCTATGCTGTAGCTAATAGTGAATACCATTTCTAAAGTACTGTTAGGAGTTATTGCTAACTGTAGGAGTTAGGAGTTATTGCTGTGGCAATGAATAATTATTACAGAGCTTCTGACTTATGATTTTGTAATTACTTCTATTCCCTTTTAAACTTTATTTATGTGTATGTCTAATTAGAAACAAGGCAGGTATACAATTACATTGTACACAGAGTAGTGGGAAGTTACAAACATTCCTATTCAACAGATTGAAAAGCAGCTAATATTATCAAATCAAGAGTAGACAAATCAATGACAAAAGTAAAATTTCCCAAAATAGTTATATTAATAATGTTAAAAATTTATATATTCTATATATTATTTTTAAACAATAAAATGAAGTTCATTTGTATTTCTTCTGCTCTACCTACATACCTTAAAAACACTACCTTCGGGGTGATGATCTGGAAAAAAAATCAACTCATTTTTTTAAAAGTAAAATTTGACCATTGAATAATTGGTTCTATTTCTCTTTCTTATAAAATTATAATTTCTGAGATCTTTAAATGCCTCATTTCATTATTTACGTTTGTAAAATATATATTAGAAATCTCTCCTTTAAAATTCTGGAAACAGTTTTATTTCTATTTCCTCAAGTTTATTTTCCTCAAAATCTGAGTACTCCCATGTGTACCATCTGCCAAGTATTTTGGAGTAAGAAAAATGTTGTGAATATCGGTTCTGGAGAAAGGGTCTTATAGGGTTTTTATATCACATAGAAATCTCACATATTGTTTTGCATATAATTGCTCAAAAAGTTTGTTGTATTGAATAATATAGAGTATTATAATATATAGTACATCATTACTTGAATGAAGACTTATGGTGTAATAAAAGTGATTAACCATGTATAATATATAATTGAAAGTAACTGTCCTATCATATGCTAACTAACTCTCCCCATTCACTTGAGGGTGGGCATTTACTGTCCACTGGGTGCCAGGTGCTGTGCTGGGCTCTGCACACAGAGATGGAGGAGACAAGACGCTTTCCCGTGGCAACTCACAGCCTGCTGGCTCCAGCAACCAGAGAATGGAAAGTTGCAACGCCATGTGACATGGAGTCTGACCAGTCCAAATTTTCTTCCTTTTACTGCTAAGGTAATGAGGGTGTCTTGACAGGGTAGAGTAAAGAGGCAAAGGCTTTCTTGGCATAATAATTAGCAAGAGAGGAGTTCATTTCCTTTATAGAAAGAATATGGAAAACTTAGGCCTCGCCTCCTAAACATACAAAAATTATCCTGGCCTAGGAGACCTTCTGTCCTCTTCCAGTATGGAGATGCTCAGGAATGGAGCCCTGACCGTGGGGAGAGGCGGGCAGGGTTGAAAGATCAGCAAAGGGGCAGGAGATGTGGTGGAGGGGCAAGGAGGAAGGGAAGTCCTGGCTTTTCACAGGGGCATAGTCTGCGTGGATTGATGTGGTGAGAAAAAGCAAGAAATATGATCAGTGTTCACAACTGGCTGATGGTGAGATTGTTACTCTCTTAGATGGGGGCATGAATGATGGTTATTGCTGTAGTGGAGGTTGCTCAGTGTCCCCAAGAGACTTATGGTTTGCAAAAAGAAGGGATTACTCAGTTCAAGCTGCAGAGCAGATGTGGGGGAAGGTAAGGGAGGTAGGAGAAAATGGTTAAGAATCTGAAACTTGTTCAGTAAGGCTCTGCCATGTGTCCAAAGATACTGAGCCCATGGCAGTGCTTTCTTTTTACATGACAATCAGTCAATTACCATGATTGTTCTTACCCTCAACAGACTTGAGGGGCAGGAATACAGCTCAGTGCTGAGCAGGAGATGCTCCTTTTGAGGACGAGGGAAAAAAGAAAGGGAGGGCTGAGTTATCTTCCTCTGGGATGGAGTCCACAGGTGACAGGGACTTGTAATATTCATCTTCACCATCAAGCACTTTGACTTGGCTGCAACAACAAAAAAAGAGTTTCAACAGAAGAGGAAAACAAAGCACCTTCACCTCTGGGGCAGCTCAAGTTGTTTGAGTACTTGGAACAGCGTGGGTTCCAACACTGAGGAGAAGGACAGCACAGAGGGGCTAGGGTCTGCTACACAAAGCCTTTCAGCTCTGAGCAGTGCTTGGTAATGGCCTGATTTAGTGGTGCCTGGAAATGGTGATTGTATTGCAACTAGATTTACGTGAATTACGTATTCTGTTTCTGTCTGCTTCCCTCTAGATGAGAAAGTTCCCCTCCTGACCTTCTCCAGTTCTTAAACTAGTATGGATTACCTACCTAACTCCTAGTCTCATTTGAGATGCCAACAATTAAATGAGCTCACACTTTAGAGTCCTGTCTAACCACTGGAAGAAATTTTCCTGTACCTTTCAGGCCCAGGGGTAGGGTGATGTGGGGGAAGCATCCTATTTGCACTGTGTGGAGTGGTCTTGTTTGTGAAAGAGTTTCATACAACCCACTATGCCTCTACTTAGGAAGAAAGTACAGTTCTCTGAGAAATAACATTTGCTTTGAGATGGCAATTCCAGCCTTTTCAGACAGAATAGATTGAAGTTTTGTATACTTGCTACCATGAAAAGTAGTTTCCAATGTCAATAATAGTGGAGCTATTCCCATCGCATATTTTTAGAAGCCTCTCAGGAAAGTTTTGCATTTTCTGTAATATCACAAAGGACCCCTTCTGTTTACAGTTGCTTAGAACTAAGAAGACAGATATTTACCCAAGTTTTCTTGGCTTCCTCTTGCTCCCTTGATATTCTAGAGTTCCCTGTGGAGAGGGCCAAGAACACACAGTCAAAGCAAAGCAGCAAGTCGTTAATTTTTAATTCAAAGTGATTTTGTGTTGAATGCAAGCAGATGCTGATAATATCAGAAGTCACAGCATAATTTTTTTGATCAAAGGGCTCAAGTGAGCCTGATGAAGCATGCATCTTGCTCGTCTTTGATAAACCACATCAATTATTCACCGTGAAGGCAGACATCCTGACATGAAAGCAACAGATAAAGAGCCTAAGCACATGTTCGAGAGGAGAGCATAAGAGAGTGGGGGTGGGGTTGGAACAGGTATTAATAACAGAATTATTAACTGGAAACAAAGCCAGTGAAACAGCTTTATGGCCACTTTGAACTCACATTTAACTGGTTATAGTACATGGTGTCCTCAGGGCTACTCAGCATTTTGGGCTGCTGACATCTTCGGCGGGGTGTTGGCTGCTTCTGTGCAAGACCATTTTCTGAACCTCCAACAAGAGAGTAAAACCTTACTGTAAACCATCCAAAGTTTTGGGAGAATTAAATAAAAAATTGCCCTTCACATATGTGCATTGAGTATAAACTGTGTCTCATCGTAATGGGCATGTTAGAGTTTTGCTATCAGTAAAAGAAATACCACCCTAAGAAAAATAAACACTCAGGGGTTGCGGAGTGTAAACAATAGTCACTGTCTGTAACTTTGCCTTCATCTTTCTTATCTGAATCAGCAGTCAAGACTGACAGAAAGCAAGTAGATGTGTCCACACTAGTGAAGGAGAGGTTGGTGGTCAGCCTTTGTAGGGTAGAAAGTACCCTCTTAGTGAGATAACTCAGCTAGGACAAGGAAGGCGATCTGGGATGGTTTGCACCACATCCTACAGCGTGCGCCGAAAGACATCTGGAGCACACACTCTTGGGTAGATGAGAAACAAACCTTTTGGTTTGTACATATTGGAGGAAAAATGGCTTGTGCTAGTATTTACTGAAATGCTTTGAACAATGCCATTGATCCATGCAGTCTCTGGAGGTAGTGCAAGGGAGAAGGGGAAAAGGTGATTGCTCAATTTCATGGAGCAAGCAGCCTCTATGTTAGTCCTGATTTCAGAATCCTGGACCAAGAGTGCACTGGAGGTTAAGAAACCACGTGTCCAGTGAAGTCATGATTTATTTCCCTTCCAAGCAGATGACTTTTGTGGAATAGGCTGTCTTTTTTTGGCACTCTATGTGAATCAGGGCTCAGCAGTTCTAACTTCTTGTCAACACACACACACAGCTGCAGTAGAATATTGTTCATGAATGTCATATTCTAGAGAAGAGATATCATTTTCCTGGACAAAGTGTATATCATAGACTAATTACTCATAAAAAAGGGTTGAAGATTTGTAGTCACAGTTTGACCTCATGAGGGATTCCTACTCTTTCAGGAAATTCTGGGGGAATTTCTAAGTGAAGAATGACTCAGCAGGGACCATTTGAAATAGTGAATTATTAGTCTCCTAAGTATGAAGTTTTGCATTTTTATTTTTCTTGAATTGGAACATATTTATATTAGAATAATACAGGATTTTAGGAAGCATCCATTCTAAATACTCATTTTCTTTTTTAGAAAAAAAAAACAACTGAGGCCTATAAATGTTGAGTGACTTATCCCGGATCAAGTGACAGGGTGGGGACCCCACTGTGGACCCCGCCCTAGATGTTTTACCTCCTATTTTAGCAATTTAGAAAAAAATCTTTCTTAACAAGAAATATTCTTTTTGAAATTCAAAGATCGAAGTAAAAGTAAGCTCCCAGAAAAAATTATTAATTAGCATAGCATAAGGATGTTGCTTGTAGAGGGTTCCAGTGACCTTAATGGCCACCCCGCCCACAGCTTCAGGAACTCTGTGCAGCGGACAGGACTCCAGCCTCTTGTGCTGGTATCGTCCTCAGAGAACAAGAATTCCAGAACTGAAATGGTCTTTGCTTTTTTTTTTCCTGATAGTTCCAACACACCTACCTCCTGCTTGCTTTGCAAAATCCATATTATTCAATATCATAGAACACAAGGTTGTGAGGCCCTTTGGTGTTATCTCCTCTGATTTATAGATGAATAAACAGAAGCATCCAGAGCTGAGGCTGCTGGTGTGAACATGCACTGGAGATCTGACATAGATCTCCTTTAGACTTTCTGATGTTATAGGAATTCCAAACTTGGCAACTCAAAAGACTGATCTTAAATACTTTTGGGGTTCAGCTGGAGTTCAGCCTACTTTAGCTGGACTTTATATTTATATAGTGTTTACACTTGATCAGAGACTTTTATTTATATTCTCAACTGGGAATGCTTAATATAAGATGTGGTTTTCAACTTTTGCTCTTGAACAACTTGATGTTCCATGGGTGAGTTCTTACCCTCCTGATTCTTAGAAGACATTAAATTATTGGATAGAATTTTTTCAAACTTACAATTTCTCCCACAAATTAAAAAAATATTTGGTGTCTGATCATACAGTATCTATACTGTACTAGAACCTAGCATAAACTGGTGTCTGATTTAGCACCAAATTTTAATTTTCATTATTTTAACTTTAATATCTCCATATTTCATGATGTTTTGTGAAGAGTGCTACAACTTCCAGGTGCTTTGCCATTGGAACAAATCTGAGCATCATTGATATATGACTGATCATAAGCAACCAAATAAATAATTGGGGAATGAATCATGATTCAGTGAGTGCTGCTGGAACAATCTGATAGCAATATGCAAAAAATATAACTTCAATACAGACCTTACAACATTTATCCTGAACGTAAGGCACTTTGTCAGATATTGTGGGGAAGATAAAAGGAAATAAGAAAGGGGCTCTGCCTTAGTCCAGAAGAGGACACTGCATTTGGAGACATAAAGGGACTTGCATAAAGGCCACAAGCTAGTGTTGCTGGACTCAAATTAGTTTTGTAAAAAATTTCTAAATCTTTTACTTATCTCAATATACCTCTTGATTTTCATAGGCCACAATAAATTCCAGATGAGTTATATAGTCAAACGTTTTAAACATTCCCATAAAAATCTTAGAAGGAAATGAAATAGACCATTTTTTTAACTGTGGGAGAAGGTATGAGTGACAAGGATGGGTTCAATCATATTCCAGTAAATTATTCTACATGATGGACAGTAACAAAACTAAGATGAGAGAAAGTGCCATGGAAAGATAAAAACAAAATATGACATATACACACACAAAAGTCTACTATCATAAGATGGTTGGAAAGCCTGAATCAAGAGAAAGAGAAATATTTTTATATATTGAAATGCAATATTAAAAATATTCAGCCACTTTAACAAAGAGCTTAAATTAAAGCACTTACTACTGCCTTCCTATTAATTAGGATAAATCAAAAGGTCAAAAGACAGTGTGAGAGAGGCCCCATGCACACTGGTGAGTCCTTAGGCTCCGCCTCTCCTTAAGTGCAACTTGACAATCATGCAACTTGACAATCTAAATCAAAAGCTGAACACATCCCAACAAGGAGTTAAGCCAAAAGATAAAAAGAGATGATCTGCAGGAAGATGGATATTATAATACTTTTTGTAGTAGAAAAAAAGCTAGAAACATGATATATGTTTAATAATTGGGGAAGAGTTAACTTTGAGATATAAAAATGATGTCATACCATGAGGCATCAATAAGGATAATTAAGGGTATGGTGTTGATAGAGGAAATTTCAAAATCCAGAAAAAGAAGCAAAACACAAATAGCATATAGCACATAGATTAAATCCAAACATGTATGCACTTTGAGAAGTTTATCATGATTTTTATGATAAAAGTTTAAAAATAAAAAAGTCAATGAGGCATGTAGGACAGAAATTACTTTTTTTTTTTCAAAAGATGAAGAAACCATAGCTAAGAAAGACTAATCTGTAAGTGTCAGAATGGAAGCCTCAACTATCTGTTGGCTTTTGAGCCAGTTTGCTTATGAGTTACAAGACAGTATGGTCATCTGACTATTACCTAGTTCACTTGAGCAGTTTTTGTAGATAAACTGGGAAATCCAAGTCTGAAGGTACACACTAGAATATGAGTTATTTACTTTGAAGACAATGAAGTTCATATTCTGAAACTGCCTGATTTCTACCTCACATAAATGTTTGTAAGCCAAACTCTCCAGTTTGTAATACATGGGAGATACCTCCCTATAGTGATTCTTTAAAGAATATTGTGTCCTGAATGTCGGTTTGCATTTAACATGGGTCTATTTCCTTTACAAGAATCCCTGTACCTTTTGATTTCATACTTGAGACCTTGAACACGTTTCTCTTCTGAGTTGTCACAGAACCTTATAATAAACTGGAAAGAAGTCTGCCAGAAAATAAAAGAAATCTGGATGGAGTTTCAGGAGCCCAGGAAATGCATACTCCTTTCTCTCTAATCCCAAATCATTACACTTTGTGGCTGCACAATTGACCAAGCCCCTGATGAAAGACAAATAGCTGAATTCAACTGATGGCTTCATTACATAACTTCAAACAACTGGTTTGGAAATTTAATATTTCAGTACTCCACTGAACATGCAGGTATATCCAGCTAGAGTTGCCAGATCAAATACAGGGCACTCAGTGAAATTTGAATTTCAGATAACCAATACTTTTCAAATATATCCTGTGTAATATTTGGGACATACTTACATTAAAAAGTGTTTGGTTGTTTACCCGAGATTTGAATCTAGCTGGTGTCTTTTTCCCCCTTAAATATGGCAACCCTAATCCCAGCACAATTTAAGTCACAACTGAGGCTTTTTGTTCTTTCCTAAGGTCTCAGAGATGAAGAGGGAAATGGCTTCCTCTACTCTACTCGGCCTGTTGAGTTATGGTTATTTTGGCCACAAGCGCTCTTCTCAACATTGTCTCCTAACACTTAGCGTTTCACTTTTCATTGCCCACTGTAGATGTGCCTGTTCTGGTAAATTTCCTAGCAGGACTGCAGTGAGGGAAAAGCAACCACAAGGGAGAGCAGGGTGGGGCATGCAATTCAGTTGTGCTGGCCTGGTGGGGCAGCATGGATTCCAGGCCCGTGAGAACTGGACAGGCAGTGAGCAGGGCTTCTGGGAGAGAGCACACAGAGAGAGCTGCAGTCCTTGCACCTTCCCTGTAGGCCTGCGGAGGCACGGATGCTTTCCGAGCGGTAGCTAATCTGATTGTCATTTGTGGGTGAGACATTCCCAGGGTCACTTGCCAAGTAAAACATCCCCTTGAAGCAAACAGAATGGTCAGTGTTCTAGATTTACAGATGGCAAATCTGAAATGGGGGGGGGTCATTGAAATAGATTTAGAATTATGCCATTAATTTACAGAGCTCTGTCAACTCTGTGTGTAAAGGGTCTATGAACATGTTCCTCTTCTGAGTTGTCATAGAACCTTATCACAAACTGGAGATAAGTCTGTCAGAAAATAGAAGAAAGCTGGAGGGAGTTTCAAGAGCATGGATCATTTCTCTGCCCAAAGTTCTCAGGGCACTTGGAAGTGACAGTAGCCCAGCTGTTGGCTGAATAATCCTCCTCAATGGTGGTTGACTGCATGCTACTCTAGTGGACACTTACATGAAGTAGCGTCCAATGGGATGACCTGTGTTTTCCAGCTATGAGATGATCTGTCTTTTCCAGTTATGTGCTTCTAACCCTTACCACTTCATTTTATGTAGCACATCTTGTTTTGCAAAGTATCTTATTCTTTACTTTATCTCATTCTGGGCAAGACAAATACCTCCAAAGAGATATGAGGCATAGGAGGATTAAGAGGTCACACAGCAAGTTAGAGGCAAAACCCAACTGAGAATTCAGGTTTCCCAGTGTCCTACCGCCCAAAGGCATCTGGCTTTTCTATCTGAGTGGTCTGAGGTCCAGGGAGGTTGGGCGCCTCTGCCATCTTCTAGCCCTTCAGAGGCAGGGCTAGAACTCAGGTCTTTTGATTCTAAATCCCAAAATCTAGGCCATGGCCTCGATTATGATGCTTGTTCTTTTACTGAGATGTTCTTACAAGTTTTCTTACACATATTGCCATGGCTAACTTTAGAAGGGACTAAGGAATTCACCAGGTTTTTGTAAAACACATACACACAACTAGAAAGAGAGATTTCTCCTTTGGGGTGCATGTAATTCAGTTCTTCCTTTCTAAGATGAAAGGAAAGCTCAGATTTGCCCAGTTGCCAAGTTATGTCACGAACTATCTTCTTCAAAATTGTAAAACTGCTATGAAGAAAACATCCCTGAGTTAAATTAGTGTCTGTGGAAGATGGTGGAGTTATAAATTGTCTATGAGGAATTTTCTTGTTTTTGTTAAGGAAGTGGTAATAATTTCCTTCAAAACTGTTTGATGGTTCAGGGTTTGGCACACACTCAACAAATAATGAACGAATGAATGGTAACTATTCACCATTCTTAGATTTGTTCCATTTACGTGGCCTACTCTTTGCTTCTGTCATGCGGGATACATTTGCCAAAGCTCCCGACAGGAAGAGGCCTTTTCTGTACTGGGGCCGTGCTAGAGAACCTGTAGTGTAACAAGGAGGGAGGGAAAGTCAGCTTCTTAAAAACCAAGTTCATTGTATTTTCATCTTAATATCCTTTCAATATTTTTCTGGGAATGTGAATTCATTTGTTTTAACTCCACCCCAGAACACTGGTGTCAGTATTCATCTACAGTAATTTGTTACTGCTTTCCCTCCACTTAACAATAAAGTCATAAATACTTTTCCATGCTGTTACCCTGCCTTAAAAATAGTATCTTTAGTTTAGAGTTACATTTTAAAATTCCTTTTATTTTATACAAATTTTTATTGAAGTATAGCTGGAATTTGTAAAGTTATAAATAAACATGACATACAAATAAGTTAATCCCCTTACCCCACCCTCACACTAGTAGCAGATGCCGGAACAAGTTTCTTATCTGTATTCTAGGTTAGACTAAATGGCATCATTTCTAATTGCTGTATGGTATTTTATTTAGTAGATGATCCACAACTAATTTATATAATCTCCTATTTTGGGCAATGTTTTTCTATAATGAGTAATATTTTGAGGAACATATGCATAGTTTGATCTTTGATAATCTGCATTCTTTTCTTTTTTTTTTAAGGTTTTATGTAGTTTTAGCAAGAGGGGAAGAGAGGGAGAAAGAGAGGGAGAGAAACATCGATGAGAGAGAGAAACATCAATCTGTTGCTTCCCACACACCCCTAACCAGAGACTTGGCCCACAACCCAGGCGCATGCCCTGCCCAGCAGCTGAAACGGGGACCTTCACTTCCAACCAAAGGAGCCAAACGGGTCATGGCAATAATCCACATTCTTTTCTTAGAATAAATTTCTGTAAGTGGAGTTATTGCCCAAAGAGTATACATATTTTAAAAAGTTATAATTTGTACTTCCATTCGCCATCCAGAAAGTGTGTAGCACACCATACTTCTACTGCCTATACCTGAGATGACCTTAAAGATGCTATCTCGTCTTAAAGAAAAGGTCTGACAGTTCAGTAGGAGAAAAAATGGCATGTTGTTTGTGTTTTGATTTGCATTTCATTGATTACTTGGCAGAGTGAGTGAATGTACACCATTTGCACTCCCCATATTTATTAGCCTTTGGTGATTCAGGACTCCACCTTGGTTGGAAGCAGCAACAAAGGCCATAGGTCCAGGGCTGGACCTAATGTGGATGAAACAAGTTTTTGCCTATCTGGTGTGATTGGATGGTAGGTGAGAGGTCTCACTGGCTAATAGGTATGAGATGGCTGTTTTAAAAATTAGCATGTTATAAAGATGTATATCTCAAACTTCTGTCATTTATCTACTACTTAAATATTTTTTTGCTGTATTCAAGATACCTGTACTATTGTTTAATATTTTAAAAATTCAATGGATTTCTTTTTTACTTAAATGCATTTCTTTAAAATGAAACTTCATTCACTACCGTAAATGGAATAGCAGTGGCAACATTTGCCATAAACAGAAGTAAACCATTAAGTAAATGAAATGAAGACAATATTATCACACCTGAGCTGGATTCTGTTTCCCACAAAGTGTTCTGAGCTTTTAAAAATGTTTTGTTAAGAAGAGAGGTGAGTAAATGTGAGAAGACTTAGGGACACCCTCACAACTCTCACCTTAATCTGAAGAATTTAAACTGAGAATTGAAAAAGGGGTGATTTTCTTTTACACAATTCAGTGTCATTTAATGTCATGTCCACACACAATTTAAAATCAGCTTGCAAACCACCAACAGCCTGTGTTTACACTTCAAGAAATAAAAAAAGCAGCTGAGTCAGAAACACCTGGGTAGGAATCCACCTCTAGCACTTATTAGAGATCTGAACTTGGTGATGACGATCACTCAAGTAGGGCTGTAGTGAGGCTGATGGGTAATGTATGAAAAGAGAAGACATGGTACCTAAGGCAGAGCAGGTGCTCCTAAGTATGTTGTAATTCCAGTTATAAGGGAGTGGTTCTTCACCCTGGTTACTGATTAGAATCACCTGAAATGCTTTTTAAAAATACAGATGTCTTGGCCTCACAGCTGGAGATCCTAATTTGATTGGTCAGGGGTAGGGCTGTGGCATTGTTATTGTTGAAAAAGAGCCCACCCCTTCTTCCAGATGATCTTAATCTACAGCCAGGTTGGAAAAACCAGAGATTTTACCCTTGCCTAAGATTTTGGCCTGATTTTGCAAATTAGCTAGCTAGCTGCCATCTTGAAAATCTGGCACAGGATCAGAGAAGTTTTGATTGGGCAGAAGGAATTCTGGGAAGGGCAAGCAACCCCAGTAGGGATCCTGGTATTGTCAGGTATTTGCTTTGTTCTGGAAGCTGTATCAAATGGCTTGAACCCAAAGCAGACACTAATTTCCCTGGACACTGGAAATTTTTTCTTATTCCAAGAGAACAATTTTGCTGACCATGGAAACATTATCTCTGGTTTCCAGAGGTATGATGCTATTAAGTGCTGTTGTGGAGGTTTTGCTGCATAAATAAAAGTCAAAGATGAAAAGCAATTCTGACCAAGTGAGACTCTTTAAAGCATAACACAAATGTAGGGCAAAAATGCTGGGATCTCAGGAGGGTTGCAACCAGTTGAAATGTTCAAAAGGCACAAGCTTAGAATCAGCTATACAGAACCAGCAATGGGTTGCCATGGATTTTCTTTCTTTTTGCTTTACTGTGCATAGTACCAAAAAAATTGGCATTATGTTCCCCCTCTCTGCTTTTAGAATTTTTTTAAATTTTATTTTTCAATTACAATTTACAATCTAAATAATTTTGTATGTTTCAAGCATACAGCATAGTGGTTAGACAGAAATACACTTTACAAAGTGTTTTCACTGATATATCTAGTACCTATCTGGCACCGTACAGTTATTATATTATTGACTGCATTCCCTATGCTCTACTTTACATCCCTAGTACTATTTTGTAACTACCAACGTATATGTCTTAATCCCTTTGCCTTTTTACCTAGTCCCCCAAAACTTCTACCCTCTTGCAAACACCAGTTTGTTCTCCGTATCTATGTTTGTTTCTATTTTGTTTATTTTGTTTTTTAGATTCCTCATGTAAGTGAAATCCTATGGTATTTGTTTTTCTCTGACTGACTTGTTTCACTTAGCATAATACATTTTAGGTCCATTTATGCTGTCTCAAATGGTAGAATTTCATTCTTTTTTTTGGCAAAGGAATATTCCTTTTGTTTATATTCTACAACATTTTTATCCACTTGTTTATTGGTGGGCTCTTGGGTTGCTTCCCTAACTTGGCTGCTGGAAATAACACTCCAATAAACACAGGGGTGTGTATATTTTTTTGAAGTAGTGTTTTGGGTTTCTTTGGAAGTGTATCCTAGAAGTGGAATTGCTAGGTCATAAACGCAGTTCCATTTTTCTTTCTTAGGAAACTCATATTGTTTTCATAGTAGCTACACCAATCCGTATTCCCACTAACAGTATCTGAGGGTTCCCTTTCTCCACATCATGGCCAACACTTACTGTTTGTTGTTCATTGATGATGGCCACTCTGGCAGGTGTGAGGTGATATCTCACTGTGGTTTTAATTGCATTTTTCTTTTTTTGGTTTTTAAGTGATCTTTAATTAAAATATTTCCTTTGTGGTTCTTCACTAGCGGGGCACTCCACTGCACCACTGCTGATGTCATCTCTGATGTCATGAGGGTTGCAGCCCACAGACTGGGCTGTCCCCGGGACCTCTTTAATGGTTCCAAAGAGTTCTCCAGCCAAAGATCAATGCGGTACCTGTCAGGCAATGTTGACGATCTCACCAAAAGTGATATTTCCACCTTGCTTAATGTTTGTTTTTTTTTTTTTTTTGCTTTTTTCTGTCTCGTGGTGGTTCTTTGAGGACTTTGATGATCAGGGCAAAGGCAGAAGGCACTACCTCAGTCTGGGCCTGTCTGTTCTGAACGGTCAGTTTCACTGTGATCTTCGGACTCTTCCAGTCACCGGTTGCTTTGGGGATGTCATCACCAACTTTTTTTGGAGACAGGCCCAGGGGTCTGATCTTGGGGGCTTGGGTGGACATGGCACTGACTTCCCTGATGGTACAACTCAGGTAAATGACTTCGATCTTGTTGGGGTCGAATTTCAGGGACGTGGTGGAGGCAGTTGGTGCCGATGAACCCGGATTTGGGCAACTGAAAAAAGTTGCACCTTCACCACCTCCGAGCAGAAAACAGATCTACATGTCTGTTTTTATGCCAGTATCATGCTGTTTTGATTACTATAATCTTGTAGCACAGTTTGATATCAGGTAGGGTGGTACCTCCAACTTTATTCTTCCTTCTCAGTATTGCTATGGTTATTTGGGGTATTTTGTCGTTCCTTCTACATTTTTGGAATATTTGTTCTAGTTCTGTGAAATATGCCATTGGTATTTTGATAGAAATTGCATTAAATCTATACTCGTAGATTGCTTTGGGTAGTATGAACATTTTAATGATATTAATTCTTTCTGTCCATAAGCATGGTACATGCTTCCATTTATTTGAATTTTTGTTAATTATCTTCTTCAGTGTCTTGTAATTTTCCAAATACAGGTGTTTTACATCCTTGATTAAATTTGTTCTTAGGTAGGTATTTTTTGATACAATTGTGAGACTGTTTTCTTATCTCCCCTCTCTAATAGTTCATTCTTAGTTTATAAGAATGCAACCACTTTCTGAATAGTTATTTTGTATCCTCTTTACTGAATTCGCTTACCAGTTCTAGTAGCTTTTTGGTGGAATCTTTAGGGTTCTCTATATAAGGTATCATGTCCTCTACAAATAGTGACAGTTTTACTTCTTCCTTTCCAATTTGGTGTCTTTTATTTCTTCTTTTTTGACTGCTGTTCCCAGGACTTTCAATACTACATTGAATAAGAGTGATGAAAGTGAACATCCCTCCCTTGGTCCTGATCTTAATGAAAAAGCTTTTAGTTTTCCCCACTGAGCATGATGTT